GTTACGATTCCTCGCATCTATTACCGTGTGCAGAGATCCATCTGCTTTGCGGATACACAGTAGTGGGCATGCTCGCTCGCTGTTCACGGGATACCACCATCCTGCTTTTACATAGCGATCTATTTTGGTCACTAGTGCTTCCTGCAGTGCTGCAGGACATCTCGGGGTGTTTTCCCGAAATTTTTTGTTCGGATCCTTCAACAGGATTCGATGGTTCACCTCCCTCAAGGGAGGCATTTCTAATGGCGCTGGCGCCATGATGGTTTCGAATTTCTCTCTCCACCACTCCCTGAGTATTTCGAACTCGGGGTTGTTCATGGAGAGACCTTCCAGATGTGGTACGTCTGGAAGTTCTAGTCCTTCCGGACTAGGATTGGGCCAACCTTCAGGGTACTTTCTTTTGATTACCCTGAGGTGTGTTTCAATCCTGCCTCCCTGTCAGGGGGGCCTCTTTTTTGGTTGTTCTCGAGCTCTTGCTCGAGTTTTCCATCTGTGTGATCTTGTCACACGGTCTTCGCTTATTCCAAGGGTATCTATGTTGCCCTTGTTCACCATTCTCACTTTGTGGGACCGGAAGTCTAAGCTTACCTGGTTTTTGTTTAACCAGGGGGCACCGAATATGGCGTCATATCTATCGATGTTAATCATGTCGAAGTAGTGTTTTTCCATGTGGCCGTTAATCTCAATGTCCACGTTTGTTCCGAACAGGATCTGTGATCTTGTTCCTTTCATCCCCATTTGAAGGATGACTGGGTTCTCCAATTGGAGAATTGGGATGTGGACTGCATGGACAAAGTCCGGTGATAAAGCGTCTGTTTCGGCTCCACTATCGAATAGCGCATAGGCTTTTGTGCCTGCTATTTTTATGTGGGCCGTGAGCGTTCTCTTTGTTGAGAGCGGTCTGTTTGCGGGGTATTTTCCTGCGTCTTTTGAGATGCGGAATTTCGCATCAAACAAGGGGGACTGGGTTTCGATGGACTTTTGGTCCTTCTTCCCTTTGTCCTTGTTTTCCTTGGGTACTTTGGTGTATTTCCCCAAGGCGTCTTTTCTTGGCACTTCCACCAAGGCTTTGGCAACTTTTTCGTCTGCCATGTTTTCTAACTGGCGTGCTACAGCCAGTTTGATTTTGTAATTTATGTCGTCATGATCGATGACTGACATTGGGCCCATCCTTATGGTCCCAACGTTGACTTCCTCACCCTCTGAGTTGGGTGAGTATTGAGGTCCTTTGTATGGGTCCTCTACTTCGAAGCTTGATGCTTCGGAGTTACCAGAGTTGTTCTCTGGTTTCTCATCTGATGAGTCTTTCGACTCTTCTTCCGTTGTGATCACGATCTCCATGGCAGCTATGCGCCTTGGTTTTTCATTGCTCGTTACATTGTGTCTTGGGCAATCTTTCGTTTGCCCTATTTTGCCGCATTTGCCGCAAATTGGAACTGACTTTTGGTCAGTTTTCCTCGAGTTTTTCGAGGATGTATCCTCTTTCCATCTGGGTTTCAGCTCTTCAGCCTTCTTTCCTGATGGGAGGGCTCTACCGTGGCTCGTGGTTGCCATGGTAGTTGTTTGGGTATAGTAACCTGATTTGTAGGCTGAAGACATCTTCAGCCCATCGATTATCTCATCTACATGAGATATTGCATTTAACATCTCCTCGTTTGAGGAGAAGTCTGCTCTGATTCTATCATGAGCAATCATTTCCCTCTTCCATTCGAGGGGAATGTAGTTTAGGAACCTGGCATTGAAGGACGCCTGGTCTGGCGGCGTCACCATCTGGGACGCTGCTTTGGACAGTTCTAGGTAGAACTGTTTTAGGCCTTTTTCCACGTTGTATTTGACGTTGCGGTACTTCTTTGTCGCGTTCAATGCGGCAGAGGCTTTAATGAAAGTTCTCATCAATATGTTGAGAACTTTGAGGAACATGCCCTCATCTCCTCTGAGGAGAGTTTCGTCTCGGAGTCTTATTCCAAGGTCGAACGCAGGCCCCCCTAATCCACGAATCAAGCAGTCCAGATGGACTTCATCGAATTGGGGACCTTTGCATCCTCGCGAAGTGAGGAATCCCAGTAGTTCTGTGAACCACTGCCAGAACGATTCTATGTCATTCTCCCCTGACCATTTCTTGTCAGGGAATGCCGGCCCATTTTTTAGGGCTTCAGGCTTCACTCCTTCTGGGTAGGGAGTGAGTATTCTCACTTCGGCCATTCTTATGGCCTTTTCATACCATTTCTCCAGGTACTCTTGCTCCCCTGCCTTTGCAGGGTCGCTATCCAATGGAGATCTCTCCTTTGGGGGGGTTTTCGCTGGGGGAAATCTTCCTTGCAGTGTTTCTTTGGTTTCAGGTGAATTCACCTGAAGTTGTATTTGGATTCTCTCATTGTTTTGAGAGAGTGTGTTTGAGTTACCTCTCTGTTCGAGAGGTCCGTCGTAAGTGGACGTTTGGCCAAACCTTTGGTATGTGCCAATTCTCCTCCTAATCACGATGCCTTCTTTCGGCATCGTCTTCTCCTATCCTTGGGAGAAGAATCTCCTTAGCATCTCTGTCGAGTCGCTGATGATATTCCAGTGTGCTTTCACTGGGGGTTCTTTTTGTGAATTTTTCACGAGTTCTATTTATGTCCTGGACCGTGGTCCAGGGGTGTTTATTTGTTTCCTCACTTTTTTGTGAGAAGTTTATTTCCTTCAGCAAGTCTGTCTGTTTGCTGATTTTTTCAGTCAACGCGTTGATTGTGTTGGCCATTCTTTCTAGAGTCATCTCTAGATGAGCTGTACTGTTGTGATTAGTTTCCTCGATCTTTTTTTGGATCGAGTTTATCGCGTTTATTATGCGCAATTCCTGGTTTTTGTCAGGGACTCATCCGGGGTCAAGAGGGCCTGGGTGTACCGTCCGGGGCTGAGAGCCTGGCGGGGGGCAGATCGGTGTGTACTGACAGGCCCGATGCGGGACAATGGTCCCTGGCCACTTAGACTGAAGTGGAAAGTTGAGAAGAAGGCTACTTCTTCGGTTCCCACTTCAGGTTCGTTTATATACATGCAGCTTAGATCACATGACAGGTGCCACATCACCCTCGCACATAGCCGTAACCACCCAGGTGTCTCCATGGGAGATCCTGAGGGCATCCGGTGCAGGCACGCGTACTGGGCACAGTGGGAAGTTGCCTGAGGTGCCCAGGCCAGGTACATGGTGGGCACACTGCAGATGGGTCAATGGTACATTGATACAAAGAAGGTCATCTGTGTAGAATAAAGAGAGAATAAAGAATAAGTAAGATAGGGAGAAAATGAGGAAGGAAGAATAAGGAGGAAAGAAGGGAAAGGGGGAGGAGGTAGGGAAGGGTGGACAGCGGGGTACCAGGTCAGGTTGGGCTGGGTGGAGCCGGGTCAGGCAGGTGTGCCCTGACAGTTTTCCACCAGGAAGTTTGGTTGGGCAAGCAGAGACTCTCCCCAGTTGACATTACCGCTTCTGGGGGTTCCAGAAGGGGTTCTTGGAGTGAACACTCCACACTTGCTTTGTTTAGGCGAGGCCATTGCGGAGGGTGCTTCCCTTTCATAGTGGGGTCTGTTCGCTGGTTTTTCCTTACTTTTCCGTAAGGCTTCCTCAGCAAACTCCCTCATTTCAGTTCGCCTCCTCTTCATTATCTCGGAGACCTCCTCCAAGGTTGGCGACCTTGCCTTGTCTGGCATGGCGTGTGGGAGTGTAAACAGCGGAAGTTCTTTTGGAGCTTCCGTGCTCTGGGAGATCCTGCTCTCAGGGTGTATCTTCACGCCTTCTTGGGCTTTCAGCCTGAGAAGAAGTTGGTCTTCGCTTTCCGTCCTCCATTCGGACGGAACCTGGAACAAGTCCAGTAGTTTTTCGGATAGCTGATGTGGGGGCTCTTCCCTTTGTTTCCCTTTGTCTGCCTTTGGGGCTTGACTTGGGGACGTAAGGGGGGACTCCAGGGGATAGTTGGGCCCTGGAGTTTCCTGCAACTCTATCCGATCAGCTTTTTGGGCTGATTGTTCGGCGCTTATGCGTTTATTGCGCAAGTCAATCACCTTGTGAGGAGGTGAGGGATCTTCCCCAGCTTGGGTTAGATCGGTATGTCGTGGAGTTCTAGGGGTATTAGGCCCTGCACTTACTCCACGTAAGTTTCTAAAACCTTCAGGGGCCAGCCCTGAGGTGGTTGCTAATGTCGGATTGTGTTGATCCTCGTCGTTGTCTGACGACAGCTTTTGATTTGAATCTCCCATGATGGGAGATTGCAGTTTCTTAATAAACTGCTTGTTTCTTTTTAGCGTCGCTGCAGATGCAACTTTGCCCTTGCAGGCGTGTTTAGGCACCATAGGCACTACCGAATCAGATGTTAAGATTTGATAGTTGTTGTGGGTTGTGTTGTAAAACACACCTCATACACTTAAAAAAGTGTGAGGTCTCTGGGGTAGCTCAGCACACAGAGCCGTAAGTGATACAAAGGTGTGTATTTTACGGTAGTGTGTAAGCAGTTACCCAGAGGTTCCCGCTTACCCACATGACTATATGTATCTAATTACATGTGGCTCGGGGTTCGGGGCTATTGCCCTGACAATGACCCCTCAAACGATGTATGCATCTACATCTTCTAAGGCATTAATATAACTTCCTTTATGCGTTTTTACCTGTTCTATAGCCTCAACTGACCTGGAATCCAACCACCCACCAAAACGAGCGTGTCCTGCAGTAAATACCACTCATATATCACCTCCTCAACGTCCTCACAATGCACCCTAGACATGCCCTACTCTTTCTGCTGTTGTAGAACAAAACAGCCCACAGTATACGCTCATTGGCATTGTTTCCGACCTGAAACACAGCCAATTCACTCATGGGACCCAAGATCGTATATGTGTTCACGTTCATCTGTATTCACTGGCTGATTTAGTCTCCCAAGCCTGGCTTGCCCTTAGTCTTTGTGACTTTAATGGGCAAGTGGTCGGTGACATTTGCAAGAAAAACCTGTGACTCTTCCCCAGATTGAAGGATGGAGATGTCCTATTCCTCATTGGCTGTCATGTAAGTGCATTGCATGTATCATAAAATTTCTCAACCTCATTACCTATAGACAATCAAATGCGAAGATGCCATGGCATTCCGTGCCCTCCCTGAACATTGCTGATATTTCTGTCCTCCATCGTGGTCAACCCAGCCTTCTCACTTATGGGCCATCCAATACCAGCTCCTGGCCATCCAGCAGTGCAGATGCAAATCCATTCTGCCTGCCAATAGAGGATGATATGCGGTACATGTACAGTCTTCTTGAGTCAACTCTCTCTATTTGTGTGGTGCAGATGTCCTTGCCACCTTGCTGTGAGGCATTACCTTGGGTGTTCCTTCAGTTATTCACTCTTCCTCAAGCATGTTCTCCATTTTTCATCTTCTGCCAATGTGGGGCCACAGCTTCAACTATTCCATTCAACCATCTTGTGGGTCAGTTTAGGGTCTGTCAGGTTGATGCTCACTTGCAGTTGGTGTCTTGTGCCATGGTGTTCTCATGTGTGCAATGCAGCCAACAGTGAGTATTTCCTCTGTTTTGGGTAATATTTACGATTATTGTTGTAGGCAACAAAGTGATAGCAATTCCACGTGTCAAGAACATCCACACTCTCAAACTTTGGTTAATGCCAGGGTGGAATTTAAGATGTGTGTATTATCAGTATCCGCTCACGTTTGTCTTTGGTTGTTTCCATTTGTTCTGTTGCATGGTTTCTTCTTATTGCTTGGAATTCCCTTGCACTTGTAGCGGATCACGCATGTCTGGTTATTTCTCTGAACTTTCTCATTTGCAGCTGTCTCGCTTGTTTTTATTGTTTGGGTTCCAGTGGCGGATCATGTGTGTCTTGCCACACTTGCTGCCAATCCATTCTGGGCCTCCTGGGCCGTCTCCCACTACAACCTCAGTTGAACCTGATTAGACTGCTTCTAACATTTATTCATATACTTTATGCATATCCGATGTTTCTAAAAATTCCTCAATAGAGATACTTCTGAGTACATTTTAACTAGTGCTAGTCCTCTATTACACATGTATTTAGCTGAGCAAATGGACAGGCACAAGACATGGTGACAGCCCCAAGTCAATCCCACACCTGCCTGTTTGCATCCATAACCAGCTGAGGGGCACCAGCTGGTTACAGATGTAAATGGGAGTTTCACAGCTGTCTAATCGAACTCGGCTTCCATCTGATCTTTCTAGCCAGCTCTGTCATTAGGTCTTGATTAAGGATGTCAATGCATGGGGCAATCAGGGACAATTGCATAGTAAGTCTTACTTATCTGGGCACACACTCACTATCAACAAACGACTTCATCGCCAGAGTCAGGCTCATGGGGGAGGACACAATGCAAATGCCACCACCAATGCTAACAACAGCTCTGAAGACGCTCTGGAATACCATCAGAAGACCCTACATCGGGTTTCCCAGCCTATGTTATGGCCCAAGGTCCGATTCATGGTGGAAAAGCCCACACATGCACCCATCAATTTCCCTTCCAGTTTGCCTCTCCCCCTCTGCCACCCTGCTGATTTCTCCCATGTTAGGAGCCAAAAAAACGCGATTAGAATTTGAAAGCGATGCACCAAGGGCCGATGCCATCTACGAACCCCCATGGTCATTAATATGGCAGCCCCACGACAGAAGAAAGCCTGAGCCGATGCTACCGATGAACCTGGCCTGTCTGGCCCATCTTGGAAGCCAAGGCCCCACCCAGTACCTCACAGTGTTGCACACAACAGTTGAAGTTTGCATCTGCTACTCAGTTTGTTTCTCAACTGTCATCTTTCTCTCAAACTCAGAACTTCTCATTTTTTGATTAGGTTGAGTAGTCTGTGGCTTGATCAACACTCGATTCCTCGATTACTTCTTGCCTGCTGCTCAACACGATTCGTTCTAATCTGATTATTCCTCACCTCTAATGAATAGTGTACAAATCTCAAGTATCAGGGAGGACTGTTTTGACATCCAAGCGGGTTTTTTCTTCTGCACTTTCATGGCTGCAAGGGCTTGTGGCCCAAATTTGATGTGCACTGCCACCAACCTAAGCAGGGTTTTCCCGTCCTAGTAGCTGACTTGTGTGAGTTGCTCTATGGGTATTTTTGCAAGTGGGTTTTAATATCTTATTTCAGGGACTAATTGGGGCCAGACACATGCAACCTGGAGCAGTCCGTTCTGCCACAGTGTGTCTGTTGGGAATTCAACGGTAAGCAACCATGGCATATGAGGATTGGCAACGCACACCATCCATACACCAAAAGTGCAAACCCAATTCCCTTGAGCGATTGACATTACCATGATGTCCAACCAAAGCAAGATTGTGACCCCAGTTAATGTTGATGGCATTCTCACACCCTAATCACAAACCGGTCCCTCTATCTGTTTGGGCCTCCATAATCTAGCCCTTTGCTGACGCTGTTCCCTGCCTAAATGATACTCGGTCTCACGAGTGTAAACACGAAGAGAACTGAGGGCATCAGCCAAGTAAATATTGAGTTTTTAAGTGTCGATTACTTGAATGTAATAAAAACAAATAAAAGAAAGTGAAGTGACCAACCAAATTTTGGCTACTTCCAAACTACAGCCATATCTTATTGTATAAATGAGAATTTGTCAAGTAAAGAGGAAAATGGGGTTGCGAGAGCACCATTCCACTGCATGTGTTGCAATGGTATTTATAGGATAGGTTCACCATCTTCTTCCACCCTGATCCTCTCAAGGATTTGGTATGATGCATAGGCATCAATCACCGCATCTGATATCAGTGATTAGTCGTTGAATCAGTGGATAATGATTGACTTACATTCCAGTTGCTTTTCGGATAGAACTGGTGCACTCCAGCCACTGTGAAAGTTGTTACTGTGCTTTTCTATCCACTGATCTAGATATACCACAGCCAGCTTCTGCATCCCAGGTTGTTGGTTGAGAGCCTTGGTCTGTTGCCACCTTTTCAGGTGTTCTTCAAGGGCGATGCTTCCAATGTCCATCGCATTCGAGACTCCCAGACCCCAAACCTCACATACCATATTTACATCAGCTATAGCGACCGCTGTTAGTTATTTTTTTTATAGTAAAATTATCAACTTGCACTGGATGCCAACTCTGAGTTTCATGATATCCTCTGCAAGGAGGATTTCCTTTACCTTCTGAGGGCCTTGAGGATATTAACATCCAATATAGGTTGGTGGCTAAAGAACTCACAAGTACGAGTGCATATTTGATACACTATTACCCCTGATGATTGGGCAATTTGAATGGTCCTGATGCATGGCGGCATCAGGCCAAAGAATTCCCATATCCATTGGAAAACACTGGCTTGCCAGCCCACTGGACCTTCCTCCTGTGTCCATTCTAGGTCCATAGATATCTGTCATATCCGTGCATACCCGACCCCGACCCGACTTCCGGACCTCCACCCTCTTCACCTCCGGAGTCATAACCTACTGCTGCCATTCCGATACTCACCTTTGGTCCTGGCAACACACCTCCTTACCACTCGCCACCCTCCTACTACTCCGCTCCCCCTTCACAACACCTCCACCCTCCCATTATCCCCCTACGCTTCCCCCGTCCGCTCCGATACTCACCTTCGGACCTGACTACTCTCCTTTCCGCCACCCCTTCTCCCCTTACCTGTCCCCTCTCTCCTCCCTCCGTTACTCCTCCGCCACCCTTCCGCCAAGTTACGACCTTCCACCGCTGTCCCGTACTTCGCACTCGGACACCGCTCGTACCTTACACCGAGCCTCCGTCATAGTCCCTACCTCGGACTTTGACTCCACCTCGGCCTTAGTCCATTGCATTGGTGACCTCATACTACGTCAACACCATTGCCAATATTCCTCGGACTTCCAACCCCGCCTCCGTAACCTCCGTAAGCTCCGCAACCCCCAAGCTTCGCGGACCGCCTTCGGCACTCTCGCCGCCTGTAATGTATTTCTCGCGTTTTCCCTTCATCCCTATTTGGACTACTGCTTCTTTCTATTCTAGCCAGTTGGTCATCATCCCCACTTCCCCTCATCCTCCTGCCCCTCTGGGCCTCGCCCTCCCTACCTCCTTTCAGACGTATCACAGGTCTTGCCCTATGACCTTCGGTACCGCTCCGCTCCCTCTACCCTTTGTTCCCGTTCGGACGTCTTCGTTCCGATTCGGTCACCCTTTGTTCTCTTTGTGCTTTTGCCCCTTCCATTATATATATATCGGCGCTTGTACATACTCGTCTTGGTTTTCAGTCCGAAATCGACCTGAAATGCCCCCAAGAGACTTCCTGCTCACCTACTGTGAAATTAAGGACCAAATGGACAAACAGCAATGGCACAGCGCTCCGCTTGAGTCGCTGAGGCCAAGGTCCCTCCACGCTAAGTCTCCGATTCCACTCCAGAGTCGTCCGTTTCCGCCCGTTCTAACAATATCTCACTGTTTTGGGTCATCAGTGCAGACACCCAGGTTGGGGTTTTTCTTACCTCTCATTCCCAAACAATCTTTGATATTCTTGCTCGAACTGGGCTTCACTTTGGCAGTAGGAAACTCCCAATGGGAGTTTGTAACTAGCCTTCAGCTTTTCTAGCTGGGTGAACCTTTCCCCTAATTCCTTTCCCATCTTCATTCGTAGCTGTTGGGCAGTTTGTTTCACATCTGCCAATCTTCTTGTCATTGCATGGACGTGTTGCCAATGGTCGAATGTGCTCTCTGATGCCATTCTTTTCAAGCATTCTTTGACAGAGTTTTTGAATTGTAGGAAGGCCATATATGATCCCAATGTGTCAAATCCGGATGCATTCTATATTTGATCCCGACACATCAATATAAAGCTTAAACATTAATTTCACAAATGTATTTGAGCCATTTTGCTCCCATATTGCTAATTCTTGATTGGGAAATCATTGATGCATGTTGCTTTGTATGGTTGGTAAAAATAAGACAACATTCCTCCATAGAGATACCTCTGAGTTAACGCTATTTGACATAACACCAACATAATTAGTTATATGATGAATTTTCCTCGTGTCCATTTGCAATCAATCCCAGTCATCGTAAGGCATGGTTGAGATAACTCCTTGTATGGTGAAACCAACAGGAGCGTCAGACATGTATAGACGTTCTAAAAATCAGTCATACTGTGACAAGTCATAATCCTGCCACAGTGCCAAATCTTCCATGTCTATATTCCAATCTTCTTCCTCATGTTGTGCCTTGCTGTGTTCCCCACCACATTCCTCACCACATTCCTCACCGCATTCCTTGCCATGTTCTTCTTGCAATTGGGCTTCAGTTGGTGATTGGGTCAGCAGGTGGTCAAGGGTTGGGTTGTCACCTTACCCCTCTTCTTGGTGTTGCTAGTTTTCTTCCTTTTCCTGGCACCAGTCCCCACCAAAGCCTTCCTTTTCTTCGACCCCTGTGTACTATAGTCAGTGCCCGATTGTGATTGATGAATGCTTAGCACTTATCAGGCTCCCCCTTGTTGTCCTCTATGGTTTCCTTGCTCTTTTTTTCACCTTGAAACACAGTTAGCTAGGGTATGCGTGTAGCCACATGATTACCTCCAATCTTCCCCCCAGGTACAGCCATCCTCCCTCTGCTAAACAGGCGATGCCATGCCTCTTTCACTCTCTCCTTGGCTCTTGCTTTCCCTTCTGCTATTTCTGCAGAGATAGATGCTTGGGAGCTGGACAGAGGCGTGTCTGTAGACATTGGGTGACAAGATGATGTCACGCATCATCTTGTCACCGTTATCCCTCCCATTCACCTCCATGATGCCAAGCATGGCCTATGACCTCTATAACCAGGTTGCACTTAACATTATGGGACGAATGAACCAGATTGAGGAGATTTTGGCCATTGAACACTTGGATCATGTAGACAACCTACACGAAGTGCTCACATGCCTCTGTGACAAACTCAATGTGAGTCCATTGCCATTTTGAGAGCATTTTCACAAAATTCCATAGACAATGGACCATCTCCTTGGTCCCTGCAATCAACATGAGGATGAGGGTGCGAGTGAGCAAGATGCACACGAGGACCAGCCCAGCACAAGTCATGCCCAACAGCCAGTGAGTTCTTTGTTACCTTTGATCCTTCTTTAACCATTTCTAGTTTGCATACAATATGGAACAAATGCAAGACTATGCTGTTAATGGCCCGATGCCAATCAATACCCTCCACGATGAAAATTGGTTTGTCACCAAGACACTTCTTTATTCCCTTAATGCAAAGAACAAATTGAAGCGGTGCAGTTTCTTGGAGATCAATTCGCTTTGTATGCGAATTGGGATAATGGGTATCCCTATGCTTGGTCAACATGAATGGGTGAGACATCACTCTCCATCCTCCTCCTTGATCTGAATTTGGTTGAAAGCGTTCTCTGTTTCAAGTCCCTACTGAGGCAGAGGCTACTTTTAATTCTGAAATCACGTCCATATTGGCCCAAGATGACCCATTGTCACAGTTTGACAAGATTGTCGAAGTGAGTCCCCTTCCCAACTTGCGATCCCTCTTGATCATTTTCCTACCTTTGAAGGAAATGTTTGCATCAAGGATTGCTTCAACGCTTTTCCCTTGATGTTTTAGAGTCTCTCCTCATACTTGTAGAGACAGCAGACTACATCACAAGGGAGGATTCTCACATGCCCATCTCACCTACATTCGAACATGTCCTGTGCTCGCATTTTTCTTCGGAAAACCCCCACAAGCATTCATATGACTCTTGCCAGGAGATTACGGCCACAACACATTGGCTTAATTCATATTTCTATGTCAGTAAGTTGCACAACTAATTGACATTCTCGTTAGTGGGGTCCTATTGTTGTCCTTGCACCACCCTTCCATATCACTCTCTATCGTAGTACAGGATTTTCGAAACGGTTTGGGAACCCTGAAATCGACATTTGGATTGCCTTGTGCAACCATGATGGATGCACACTTGTAGATGATCAAAACGCAGGTGCTATATATGTGCTCGAAAAGTTGATGCACTTGGCCTTTGACCGAGATGTTGCAAAATATGCTTGTGAATTGGCGATCAAACTCCACTCCTATGACCTCACTACTTGTGTTAAACGCCATCATGGATGTGACAGAAATGCTACTAACCAATGGGAGGCTGCTAACTGCCCAGCAGCATCAGGCTAGCTGCTTCATGCCGCTGCATTCGACAGACTCATTGCCTCATGTTGGACAACAAGCAGCGGTTTCAATGTCTTGCTGTGTTTCACCATTTCACCGCGCTGCTACATGTTTGCCCTTGTTATTAGCCCACTTATACTGCTTTACAATGTCTCCCTAAGTGTTTCAACACCTTGGATGTACACAGGTATCACGCATAAGACTCGTAGTTCTATCACACCTATGTCCATAAAACTTATACATGAATCATACTCGAGACAGTCCTCAGCATCATGTCGCATAAAGCTGTTTGGACCACAGTGTGTGTGTGTGTGTGTGTGTGAGTTCTGGATATTTAACATGTAGGCTGCCTGAATAGGGCACCAAGGGCACAGATCATGACAATCTGAAATTATGTACAAATCGAGAAATTAAAGCATGGTTAGTGTTGGAATTCTAGTGCTAGCTGTCTCTGAGGGTGAGTGTACAGGGGTGTAGTAGAAACAGATGCCAGCTCCTCGTATTGTTGGCCAGACAAATGCCTTCATGCCTCTTGATGCTTTGGAGTATCGTGGGGACAGGGAAACTGCACCTGAGAATGTTGGCCAGACCAACTCCTTCGTGCCTCTTGGTCTTTTGGAGAACCGCAGGAACGAAAAGGGAGCTGTTAGATGCCCACATGGGAGCCGTGTGTTTTAGAAACCACCCAACGTTATTGCAAATGGTGGAGAAGAAAGATGCCCAACTATTCGCTGGGAGCACGATGAAAGGAAAGTGAAAGATGGGTGGCACAGAAAGGCCAATGCAGCAGCAGTCCCATTGTGGGGTGAGCATTGTAGGTGGGATAATTGCCCACATGCAGAGCCGGCTTGGATACCTGCTTCCACAATTATAGAACCCCTTTCATTCATGCAACAACTCGATACGAATTTGGTACCTAAAAATAGGGCTAATTTCTACGACCCCAACGATACCAAGAACGCCCCAATCGGTGGAGATTTGACGGAGTTCTATGTTGGTCAAGTTAGGCATCAAGCATGTGTGGGCGTGGGAATCTCAAGCGGCAACCCAGAATTCCAGCCTCACTCATTCCCACAGCATCTAATAAATTGGTAAAAATGCTTATCGGCTGCGTGAAATTTATCTCAGGCTCCATTTCTAATTTCAGCTTTTAATTCCGTAAATCCGTTGAGAAATTGCTTATCTTCTTATATTTTCATATTTTGCCATCATTTCAGTTATTGATTGATATTCTTTTATTGTTACTGTTACCCTTTTTTTATTATTTCGCCTAATAAGGTATGCAGGTGCCATATGGCAACAATATTTCCCATTTATTGTTTCTAAAAATAATTATTAGATATAATCCTGTACATACTGGATTCTGGAATAGAAGTTCTCCCCTCCCCCAATTTCTCTAAGGTGCTAGAGTTGGAGAGAGTGAGTGGAAATCCAACAGTAGGAATAAGGGCAGTGATCTAGCTCACAAAGAGTGGGTAGTGGACGCTGAGCCCGGACCTTGCAGAAATCCTGGAGAACCCACCATGGAGTTAAGGATCGAGAGTGTAGTGAATTTAGTGGAGAAAGTAGAGTTTTGAGAGTTTGGCCCCCATGAGCTTAGTCGGCATAGAGAGCCGCAAGCCCTCTTACAGTGTCCCCAACCACTTAGTCTGATGTGGGAATGTGAGTTATCATTAAAAGGGAGGGCTACACTACTTGCCTGAAGTGGGAATGTGAGAAGAAGGCTACTTCTTTGGTTCCCACTCCAGCTGTTATTATATACATGCGGTGTCGGTCATGTGGGGTGTGCCATGTCATCCTTGCACACAGCCATGGCTCTCTGGGTGTTTCCATGGGAGATCCCGAAGGGTCCGCTGTAGGTGTTGTAGGAATATAAAAGTTACAACACTAAAACAACCAGAAACCATCACAGAAAATTTAGATAAAAATCATACAACCTCATGGACCAGAAATAAAAATAGTAATAAAATCATAACTCAGCAAAATGAATTGAAATAAAATATCGGAAAAATAGCGAAGAACAGAGTCGATGAATTGATTATCTATGTGAACTTTCAAGTCTAGAGATCAAAAGATGGTCCAGAAAATGAAGAAAAACAACAAATAAAGCCACATAAAAACATAAACAAGGTTTCCTGTATCAAATAAAATATTAGAAATTCGCGGTAACGTGGAAAAATAGCTTTACAAACATACGAAATGAATGACAAAGAGAAATCGGAAGAAAATCAAGGAATTCACATAATGAAAAATGGTCAGGTACAAGGAAAAGATAAAAGAATTGGGAATATTTATATGAAGAAAATAGGGAAAGATATTAATCTTTGTTGGTCTTAAAGAGTTGAAGTATAGGTCTGTAGATGAGAAGATTTCATGTCAAAATCTGAAGAATTGAGGGAGAAATGGATTTAACAAGATTAAAACATGCTTGCAGAGAAGACTGGCTCAAACATCCTGAGTTTGTGGTAGAAACTGATCAGTTAGAAATGAATAGTTCGAGTCCAGGAACAAGGCATAATTTATCCAGAATTGATTGGAAGAAAATGGATGAGTTAATGCCAAAGCAATCTGGAGAACCTCAAAATTAAATCTTGAGAAATTCATATAATCCTTGTAGTTTGTTTACTGTTATTTATACTGACAGAAAGCTACACCCTTAAGCTAACAAATAACCCTATGACATGTGACTTAGAGTAAAGTGAGTGGTGTTAGGCAGTGCAATCAGCTAATTCCCACACCAAAATTACTCAGCAATGTAAACAGTAAAGTGACATGTGAAAACAGAGCCCTTAGGAAAGGTATAAAAGACCGCATTTTCTGGTCTGACCCCTCTGTCAGGGGATGGATCCTGGGTCCCCATGACCCCTCTCCATGGCCCACAGCCTAACCTGTGAACAGCCCTGTCCAGGGCACAACTCTACTGTGGGTAAGAAAGTGTATGTGAAGAAGGCAAGTAAGATACACTTGCCTACTGTGGGTAAGTGAGAAGAAGGTTAACTTCTCACTTTCCCACCATGGCCACAATATCAGGAAAACTTCCAGGGATACCCGGAAGTCACAAGTGGGATAAGCTCCAGGGGCCAGAGCATGTGGCACGTGGATCATGCAGCGCAGTGAAGGAGCAGAGCTGGATCACCTTATGTAACCAGTTTCCTACGTCCAATAACAATATTAGAGTTTGTGCTGATTTGTGTACTGACCATGTTTTGGTTGCCAAATATATAATTGTTCACTGTCTAAACAACAATAGACACCCCCCAACGATCTCACCTGACGTATAGTCGTCTATGGATAAAATTCTATATTGACTTTACTATGATTTCTAGTCAATATTACACCTAGATATACTACTTTTCAGTAGGACGTGATTTTCCTGATAATTTACTGAAGGAAAACTACTAATAAAATAATTCCGCAATAAATACAGGAGTGACCAAACTGCTCTTTCTATCGCTTAGAGTGCGTGCTAGTTATCTAGCAGGTTCAGGATCGCTCACTTTTCTCCTGTGGTGTGATTGTTAGAGATGAGGCGCAGATTCAGACGACTCCGGAGTGGAATCGGAGACTTAGTGTGGAAGGACCTTGACCTCAGCGACTCAAGCGGAGTGCTGTGCCATTGCTGTTTGTCCATTTGGTCCTTAATTTCACAGTAGGCAAGCAGGAAGTCTCTAGGGGGCATTTCAGGTCGATTTCGGACTGAGGCCAAAACGAGTATGTACAAGCGCTGATATATATAATGGAGGGGGCAAAAGCACAAGGAAACAAAGGGGATCCGAATCGGAATGAAGACGTCCGAACAGGAACAAAGGGAAGACAGAAGCGGAGTGGTACCGAAGGTCATAAGGCAGAACCTGTGATATGTCCAAAAGGAGGTAAGAAGGGCGAGGCCCAGAGGGGCAGGAGGATGAGGAGAAGTGGGGATGATGAC